TTTGTAAATGTCCGCTCTTTTGGGCTAAAGGCTTAATGGAACCGTTTAAAGTAGCCATGTGATCACAAATTAATCGGCGATTCGGCGCAGCGCAGACATGATTTAGTACGTGTGTCATTTTTCTATGTGAAAAAAAATCATAAAGTCCAGTTTATGCTGTTTGATTATGGCTTCGAATGTCGTAGTTGGAAGCTGGAAGTTGTTAGCCCCGGCTGGCCCGTGCGCGCTGTTGAAATGCGACTAATAATTTCTGACTGGCACATAACTGAACAAATGTAAACGGGTTAAGGCGTGGGCTGCAGCCCAGTCAAGCCCAATGGTAAGTCCGGCCATGGTCCCATGCCTATATTAAAACAAACTTCAGTATGTTGTTATGTTCTCTTATGTTGGACAGTTGCTCTCAATTAAGAACATTCTCATGGTGATCATTTGCCGTAAAATCAACCCAGACAGGTAATTGAAGGTCCACTCTTTGCCTAAAAGGAAGGTTTGAATGACAGTTCGACTTCGACTTCTAGTGATGTAAATGTGCAAAAAAAATAGTGTGCGCATACTTGCTCACTCGCGCGCACACACAAATGTGCATGTTCCTCACCCAAACTCTGTGAAAGTTTGGCTGCAACTGCAGCGAGGTGACAGGGAGGACCGTGATGCTGGCCGCCTTTGTGTCATGAAGAGGAATAGAGAATGAGCTCTGCTCTCTGTCTCTGCTGTCACCTCTCACTCTTTTTTTAGAAGCTGTTTTACTCTGCCTTTTCTTGGCCTTCCTGCTGTCACTCTGGTCTGTCCGCTCTTCTGCTCTGTATGTGAGGAAAGTCAACTCACTGACTGTCTTTCTTTTTCGGTTTTGTCTTTGTCTTTTGGCTTGTCTGTCTGTCTTTCTCTTGTATTTTCTTCCCTGTCTTCCATCCAAAATTTTCTGTCTCCATTGCTTTGGAATTTATTAATCCCGCTCACTTATGTTCAGGATATTGTGTCTGTCCCTTTGAAATCAAATGGCTTCGGGACAGGAAAAGCACTCATAAGTGCTGCACACTATTGTCTTTGTGTGGATGCCAGATGTTGACCTCATCTGCTCAGTTTGCATGAAAATGTGTGTTTTCTTTGAAACCTTCAACTCTTTACAAATCCTTCACTGTGTGTGTGTGTGTGTGTGTGTGTGACAGAGACGGCCAGACAAAAAAAAAAAAGGTTACATAGAGAAAATGAGAAGGACCTAAGCAGAGGCAGCATGTTGAGAGAAAGATAGAAGAAATACAACAGGGAACTGATGGCTTGAAGGAAAGAAAAATGGCAAATGAAAGAGAAAGAGAGGAAGTATTGGGGTTTGGTTAAGCCAGTGGTGACAGTATCAACAAGAGGGTTGAATAAAGGTGCTAGGCTGCAGTTGGAAAGCTCTGACATTAGAGATTCTTTCACTAAACTTTCAATATCTTTCACCCCAAATGCATCCCCCACTGCTGCTCCACCCCTCCCGAAGCCTTAGATTGAAAGTTGCCACAGTAGCACAACTGTCAGCACTTGTCATGGCAAGGGCCATAGGCCTATAGTGATGGGAAGTGACAGGGTTTTATTTGAAATCCCGTTTAAATCGGACACTGAGACTCACAAACCATGCACACTCACAGCAGACTGAGCATACTGAGCAGAGGGGGGGAAGAAAGAAAAGAAAAGGAAAGATGACAAATGAGAAAGAATAACGGTGTGAGGAGAAGCAGGGGTTTGTAAACAAAACAAAAAAAGAGGATCATACAGATGTCTGAATGGCTTCATGTGAAACTAACCAGAAAAAAATAGTTTTAACAATTACTTTTCACAAGCATTCAAAGACAAACACTCAATTATAGAAATGTTTTCCCATAAAATAAAAGTAATTGAAAGTAAGCATTCAGAACTAAATTATTATAAATCCCATGAAGCCCATTTCCGCCACATACAGTATATAAAAGGATCATGATCTGGTAAATCACGATGACATAAAAAGTCAAAATTATGACATACTATTATGACATACTTTTTTTGTCATAATTGGCCTTGTATCTTACAATTGTGACTTTTTATGTTATAATTAGGATTTAGTATGTCATGATTTTGTATTTTTTATGTCATAATTTTGACTTATTACTATTTTAAACTATTTATGTTACCGTTTCAACTTTTTAATCCCATAAGTATGACTTGACATGTTATAATTTCAGATTTTTATGTCATAATTATTTTATATCAAAGCATTTTTTTTAAATTATGTGGCAGAAATTTGTTTTTTATACAAACTGCATGTAAAGCCAGACAAAAGACACACTGAAGATAAAGACAGGCTCATGTAGATGTCTGAGTAGCTTCTTTTAATTTTAAACAGGCGTTTCAATGTTGATACAGATGGTTCTGTAAGTTCCCTTAAAGAATGCTGCTGCTCACCAGTAGACAAGACACTTTAACCTTAGACATCCTCCTTAGTATAAACCCTCGTTTTATAATGTTGAATCTCTTCCATAAGTTAAATAGATATTATTAATGTGTTAAAGTGTGTGGTGGTTAAGCGGTTGATGAGCGGTTGTTTAAGACTCAATTTTGTGATCATGATGCCCTCTAGTGGCACAATAATGCCATTGCATATTTCACCTACAAAATGGATGAGTTAGTTGATGCAGACTCATATTTAGAAATGTACAACTCTTTGTTAATGTAGAGGGAAGCAAAAGATTTTCATCAGAGCATACCATAGCATGATAAATGTCTTTAACATGAACTTTGACCTTCTCTTCCTCTCACAGCACATAAATAATGATCACATCCATGGAGAAAAGAAGGAGTTTGTGTGTCGCTGGGAGGAATGTTCAAGAGAGCAGAAACCTTTTAAGGCCCAGTACATGCTGGTAGTGCACATGCGCAGACATACAGGAGAGAAGCCTCATAAATGCACGGTGAGAATTATATTAAATACATTTAGTTTTTTAGTTTTTTTTATGTTTTCAGACACTCATTTCAGTATGTAGGACAACTTTTAATGTGGGCTTACCTGAGAAGCTAACTGCTTAAACAGCCTTGGTCTGTCTAGAACAAATCAATGTAAATGTGTGTCCTTTTCTCTCTCAGTTTGAAGGCTGTTCAAAGGCCTACTCCAGACTGGAGAACCTGAAGACACATTTGCGTTCACACACAGGAGAGAAACCCTATGTGTGTGAACATGAAGGCTGCAACAAAGCCTTTTCCAATGCGTCAGACCGAGCCAAACACCAGAATCGCACACATTCCAATGAGGTAATTCACACACATGAACATGTCAAGTATTAAACAAGGTATTTTGCTTCTAACACTCTCAGGTTTGGACAAGAAGTAATTATAGTCAACATGAAAACCAATTATTGCACATTATTGCAACAGGGAAAAAAAACAGTGCCTTTAGTAAAGTAAAAATTTTTTCCAAAATGTGATGACTTGCTCCTACTCTAGAACATTGGATTTTGGCTGACATCACCAAGCTGTTTTGATTTCAGCCCATTCAACTTCAAATTACATCATATCCTGATTTTATTGTTGAATACTATTTTCACTAAAAATACATCAAATGTTTGACATGGGTTGCAATTACCCATTATGTCGACTTTAAGTTGTTAAAAGAGTTAGCAGACATTTATTTATCTAACATTCCAATGCTCCCTCTCTCTTTATTTCTCTCAGAAACCCTATGTGTGCAAAATCCCTGGTTGCACTAAACGATACACTGATCCCAGCTCTTTACGGAAACATGTTAAGACTGTACATGGTCCTGAAGCACATGTCACCAAGAAACAGCGTGGGGATACATACCCGCGTCCCCCACCTCAGTCCCGAGAACCTGAAGGTAATGGACAAGGTCAGTCACCTGGACAACTGCCTCTCAGAGCGATCACTGACCAAAGGGAGTATAACCATGCTACCTCGAAACAGGACGAATGTCTACAAGTCAAGTCAATCAAAACAGAGAAGCCCATGGTAAGCGTCCTTCCATGTTAAAAACAAATTAAAACAAAAAAATGGTGGTATGCTATGCTAAAGTTTCAACTCCATAAATAACTAACCTTTAAAAAAACGAACCTTTTATGTCTTTTGTCTTACTAATGTTTACCCTTCCTTACTTGGTTTCATACACTGAACAAAATTATAAACGCAACGCTTTTGTTTTTGCCCCCATTTTTCATGAGCTGAACTCAAAGATCTAAGACTTTTTCTATGTACACAAAAGGCCTATTTCTCTCAAATATTGTTCACAAATCTGTCTAAATCTGTGTTAGTGAGCACTTCTCCTTTGCCGAGATAATCCATCAACCTCACAGGTGTGGCATATCAAGAAGCTGATTAGACAGCATGATTATTGCAAAGGTGTGCCTTAGGCTGGCCACAATAAAAAGCCACTCTAAAATGTGCAGTTTTATCACACAGCACAATGCCACAGATGTCACAAGTTTTGAGGGAGCGTGCAATTGGCATGCCGACTGCAGGAATGTCCACCAGAGCTGTTGCCCGTAAATTGAATGTTCATTTATCTACCATAAGCCGTCTCCAAAGGCGTTTCAGAGAATTTGGCAGTACATCCAACCGGCCTCACAACCGCAGACCACGTGTAACCACACCAGCCCAGGACCTCCACATCCAGCATCTTCACCTCCAAGATCGTCTGAGACCAGCCACCCGGACAGCTGCTGCAACAATCGATTTGCATAACCAAAGAATTTCTGCACAAACTGTCAGAAACCGTCTCAGGGAAGCTCATCTGCATGCTCGTCGTCCTCATCGGGGTCTCGACCTGACTGCAGTTCGTCGTCGTAACCAACTTGAGTGGGCAAATGCTCACATTCGATGGCGTCTGGCACTTTGGAGAGGTGTTCTCTTCACGGATGAATCCCGGTTTTCACTGTACAGGGCAGATGGCAGACAGCGTGTATGGCATCGTGTGGGTGAGCGGTTTGCTGATGTCAACGTTGTGGATCGAGTGGCCCATGGTGGCGGTGGGGTTATGGTATGGGCAGGCGTATGTTATGGACAACGAACACAGGTGCATTTTATTGATGGCATTTTGAATGCACAGAGATACCGTGACGAGATCCTGAGGCCCATTGTTGTGCCATTCATCCACGACCATCACCTCATGTTGCAGCATGATAATGCACGGCCCCATGTTGCAAGGATCTGTACACAATTCCTGGAAGCTGAAAACATCCCAGTTCTTGCATGGCCAGCATACTCACCGGACATGTCACCCATTGAGCATGTTTGGGATGCTCTGGATCGGCGTATACGACAGCGTGTTCCAGTTCCTGCCAATATCCAGCAACTTCGCACAGCCATTGAAGAGGAGTGGACCAACATTCCACAGGCCACAATCAACAACCTGATCAACTCTATGCGAAGGAGATGTGTTGCACTGCGTGAGGCAAATGGTGGTCACACCAGATACTGACTGGTTTTCGGACCCCCCCGGACCCCCCAATACAGTAAAACTGCACATTTTAGAGTGGCCTTTTATTGTGGCCAGCCTAAGGCACACCTGTGCAATAATCATGCTGTCTAATCAGCATCTTGATATGCCACACCTGTGAGGTGGATGGATTATCTCGGCAAAGGAGAAGTGCTCACTAACACAGATTTAGACAGATTTGTGAACAATATTTGAGAGAAATAGGCCTTTTGTGTACATAGAAAAAGTCTTAGATCTTTGAGTTCAGCTCATGAAAAATGGGGGCAAAAACAAAAGTGTTGCGTTTATAATTTTGTTCAGTATATTTCAGCCACCCTGACTGCAAATAATAGAAAAATGTCATACAAAGGCAGTTGCGATTTGTAGAGTTCATCCTCAGGGTTCAGGTGACAATAAATCATGAGATAAACTTGCCTTCTGATGTGTAGAAAATGAAAGCACAGAAACTGAGATTAAAATTAGACCAGGATTTGTGATGTGGATGTTGTGTCTAATTGAATATTCCCCCCTTGGATGCTCTTTGTGTCTGGCATGTGAACTAGAGGGGACGTTTCAATATATAGCTACCAAAGCCTGCAGCAATAACTAAATGGTGATTTAAATGTCTTTTATTTTTCTTAAATGCATTGACACTTACACTTAAAGGGATAGTTCACCCAAAAATGAAAATTAGCCCATTATTTACTCACCCTCAAGCCATCCTAGGCGTATATGACTCCCTTCTTTCAGATGAATCCAATCGGAGTAAAAAATTGACTTTGTGTCACAGGTACTGTGCTCTATGGAGATAAGCGCACGACGCAGGAGTAATCCAGCACACAATCTTTAATTCCAACTTCAAATCAAGAGAATAATCAGGAGACAGATAAATCAGAAACATCTAAGAGCAAACTAAACATGACGGTGAACGGACGAAGACTAAGGGAGAACTGAGGACTTATAAGCAAAACCCAAACAAAGGGAACTAATGAGATGATTAATATAACACAGGTGGAAACTAATGAATGATGATTAACTAAATGAGAACAGGAACTGAACCAAATAAGGGCAGACCGCGCCGTATCGGGGAGGGGGGGCAGGCGCCCTGGAGGCTGGTGCAGGACTGGAACTGGGCTGAGACAACTGAGACAAGCAGGGCGGATCAGGGAGGTCCAGGAGCCATGGCGGAGCAGGCAGTTCACGTTGCCATAGCGGAGCTGGTAGCTCAGGGGACCATGGCGGATTAGGGGACACAGGAGGCCAAGGCGGATCCTCCGTGGCCTTAGCCGGCTCGGCCACGGGTATATGCCCCCCCCCCAAATTGTCTTGTGGAAATCTAGGAATCCTGGGGGGCGTTCTGGAGGAGCGGGCACTTGAGGGCGCTCTGGAGGAGATTCAGAGACTTGAGCCCTCCTTGGGCTAAGCACGGGGACAGGAGCCCTCACTGGGCTAAATTCTGGAACAGGAGCCCTCTGTGGACTATACTTGGGAACTGGAGCCCTCCGTGGGCTATACTCGGGAACTGGAGCCCTCCGTGGGCTGTAC